TCATTTGTCAAAAGAGACTATTTGGACTTTGCTCTTGCCTAGTACAATGCTCATTATAATCTGGACATGATTGACAAATGCCCTTGAAAGCAGGAGGGGGAATGGAGTAGAGCAGAAAAATGCTAATTCAGATAGCTGAGGAAAAGTAGAAAGTGGCAGAGTGTCTGTGAGGGAGTAGCTTTTTATTTTATGCCTATACTTTGCAAATAGTGCTTGTTCACAGATGTTACTACAAATGTTTTCAGTGTTTCCACTTTGCTAAACAAATACCGCATTGTAAATTGCATTAGTGTGAAATATGTATTCAGTTTGCCATGACAAACATGTTACACAGCGAGAGTTGTCTTTCCATATCTTTCTCCATGTGATCTAGCATGAAATGGATGTTATAATACTTACTGATCAGTTAGATGAAGGCAGTTTAGTTTCAAGGTGACAGCTTTATCCAGCTTGTGATATTCCTCTGCTCAGTGGCTTCACTGACAGTTCCTCTTGCCAGCAGGAAGAAGCTTGCTCTAAGATTTATGTTCCCTTTTCATGTGGGCAAGGCGGTAGTGCCCCAGTCTCTAATTACCTGCTAGTTCTTGGGCAGAAGAGGATGTGTGGCTGTTGGAAACACACTATTTGAGCAGTTGTTCAAAGACTCCTCCAAGAAAGAAGGTAGCGAGCAGGCTGGAGGTGTGACACAGCCAGGATCTAGCCTTTGGGACAGTTCTGAGCTATGTTATGAGTCTCAAGTAACGATCCCGTAAGGGAAAATCACACTACTGATTCTTTAAAGTTGTTAGTTGTAATGAGGTGTCACACACAAAAGCTAAAGGAACTTCTTTATGAGGTTTATCCAAGGAGATGGACTTTTTTTTTTTTAATGTTAATGTATCTATAATCATCGCCAGCTGAAATTCCAGTGAAGACAGAAGACTTGGTTCTTGCAAGACCTTGTTCTGCATCTGCGAGTGCAAACTGTATCTGTAATTGCAGGCACCTTTTACCTATGAAGTAACAAGAAATTTAACAGGTCAGAAGGACTCTGAAGAGGTCCACAGTAGAGAAGATTCAAATTCACCAGGCTATTTATAACTTGAAAGTCTCACCTAGAAGTTTGAAATTGATGCAGTGAAAAAGGTAGCAAAAGCTACAAAAAGTGCATGAGTGCTGTGGCCAGATCAGGCCATCCACAGCTGCATGGAGGTCTGAATGTGGTTCCTTGCAAGAGTGTTCAATGCCTGGCAGTCAGCAGATGCAATTATGAGAAAAATGCAGTATATCTTTCTGTGTCTTTATCCTCCAACAGACAAACTCTATTTGTCAGTCTTTTGGGTCAGTTACACTTCACTCCATAGCTTTTGGGGTGGCATTATTTGCGAAGTTGATAAGACTCAGGGTGATGTAAGACACAGTCTAATACTCGTGTGTGGAGGGGTCCTTCTTCATCTGTCTGGATGAGATACACATAGCCTTGTTCTGAAGTCTGCCTTTGAAGATGCTGGAGGGAAAAAAGAATACGTTGGAGAGATCCTTTTCGTCCTAAGGTAGACCTTCTAAACTGCTGCTTATCAGCTGCTTTTTAGACTTGCCTGTTTTTTGCTTGGCTATGAATTGACTATAGCTAAGGCTTGGAGAGATTCCACCTTATGCCTTGTAACCCAGAGCATCTAACGCAAACCTTAATGATGCAGTGAATATAGGTGATATTTTCTATACACAGAAATTATAGGCTGTTTCAGCGCTTGTAATTTCCTGAACACCAGTCTACCAGAAGGGTGAGTACTAATGTGCTGTATAGGCGTACCTTTCTTTTACTGAGGATTAAGTGCCTGGGGTTAAAAAAGAAAGGCAAACATCAGTGTTACAGGCTACTGTTAGTTCTGTCTGTCTATATTATGGATGCTAAGGATTAAAAATACGGTTATCATAGTTTTTACTAATGCAACATGCATCAGCTTTTTGTTGACTGAAATACGGTGAAGTTACAAAAATAAATGGAATGTATGAATAAGTAGATATGTCAGTTAAACCTAAATGTGCTCAACTTAGATATCCTTAGTATGCTCAAGGCACAGAAATTATTCTTCTGCACACAACTGCAAACATAGAATTTGTAGTATGCTTTAATGTGCAGTGTGATAGCATTATAGTTTCTGCAACTTCTCTGTTCAATTTGTCAGTGTTAGTTTGCCTCATTCAGAGGCAATTGTGTAAATATTGCACGTATTTCTTCAAGAGACATGGTGTGTGCATGAATTCAGTCATATTGCATTACTTTATTGATCAAAATAACTCCTTACTGTTTGATACTCCTGTTAACTGTGTAGGGCCAAGATAGCAAAGAAAGTGTGGGCTGTGTTCTTTCTTGCTCATCATTTGAATCACTTTCTGAATTAAACACATGCAAACTTATTCAGGGAGGGGAGCGCTGTGAAAAGTCTCGTTTGCCATATTTGGTTGCTAGTGAGGGAAAGAATGCTGCTAATAATTTGAATTCTTGAACTTCAGGTTGGGTTTGCTGGACTAGCAGTTGTACCAAAGAAAGAGAAAAGATACTTATTTTAAAGGGTGTTGGTATAATTCAGTACAAGCTGGCTGTGAATAAATTTTCTCTGCAACCCAGCTCAGAGTGAAAAGGGAAATAGGAGAGACACATCTATTACACCCCCAGTAGCAGCTTCTTCAGCATGGCTTTCATTCTGTGGAAGAAGCCATGCAAGTTGTCCATGAGCATAATTTTAACTCATGTATTTCAGAAGCCAGTGTTTTTCATACAGGGAGCTGGTGTCTGCAGCAGCCTAAACTCTTCAATGTGCCATTGGGTGTTTTTGGTGTTCTAGCTTTTTCCCTTTGGGTGAGGTTCTCTAGCAACAGAACTTGTTAGTCAAAAATATCCTCGGATAAGCTGCTTGTGGTTCTAGAGGATGTTTTCATTGTGCATAGCCTCTGTCCTTCATGCCATGCCAATTACTGGATTGTTAAAAAAATTAATAATGGACCATAAAATGTAGACTTCGGTTTTGTTGGCTGCATATTAGCTTCTACCTGAAGATCCAGGAAATGCTGAGCCAGCATCTTCAGAGAAGAGTGTGAACAAAAGTGTGAAGAAAGTAACATGAGTGTATACATCTAAGACACAAATTTCTAACTTTGTCTGAAAGGAAAGCAGTAATAAGCATTTTGTCAAAGTATTGAAAGATCTTTATTTTACAAATGTGCAGAAAACTCAAGGACATTGAGTCTAAATTACTTCTTTCTGGACTGTGCTTTTAGGGAAGGGTGCATTCATTTTGTGAAATTAGCCCCACGTTTCAATGTCGGCTGTAAAGCATAACCCTAGACTTCAGTGAAACACGAGCTAAGGTGACATGGATGTAACTAGAAAGGTTTCCACCTTATTCTTTGCGATGCCATTGGAAAGAGATCGGCTCGGGAAAAACAGCAAATTATTTGGATGCCAGAGTTTTAGCAAACAATAGGGAAATTGCATTTGCTTAGTACATTACATATGCCGTTCAGTTTTTGGACTTGTGTCTGATATTATGTAAGGCAGAGACTGGCAGCTTTTCAGGAGCGAGGTGCCAGATTGTATTTTTCTTTCACAAATTAGAGGTTAAGAACACTGGTTGAAAACATTCAAACGTGCTGTCAGGCGGTGTTTGGAAGCGGCTGGCTGTCACGCAGGCTAGATGCCACCCGGCAGCCGGCGTGGGGCCGTTGTGAGGGGCAGGGCTCCCGGAGCCAGAGCTCAGGAGTGCCAGAGCCAGGACTGCGCTCGGGATGCCAAGGCTCCCGGTGCTCCAGCCCGTGCCAGCGATGCCAGCGTTGCGTGCCTCTGGAAATCTACCCACCTCTTCCTTTGCCGTGTACGCCAAGGGTTGGGAACTGCAGGCCCAGTAGGGAACTCTGTCCCATGCATCTAAAATTGTCTGTTGCAATTGCTATTAGCGTGAAATTTGGCATAAATTCCTTGTGCGAGGTTGGCTTAATGTTGCTCCGCAGAGATGTTTTTATAACAGATGCTTTGGAGACTGGATGGTCACTGTGAAACCAGAGTTAATCAGTTGACCAGTAATGCTCTCTTTTACATTGCATTTTTCTAAAATAGGGACGAGGATGAGCAGATTCTTGATGCAAGCTTTGAAGAAATAGTATTTGAAACCCCTGAGCATATGCAAAAACATGCTCTTTGTGAAGTGATGTGGAATATAGTGTCTATATTGGTTTTTCAGGCTGTATTAATCAAGAAGTAATATAGGGTAGTATAGGATAGTAACCTGTAGGCTTACTTTAGAATCTAACCTTTGACAAAGAGCTCTAGCTGTTTTATATGTTTAATAACTCTTGGGAATACTAGTTATCAGGTAACCTGGAGCTGTGTCTGAACAGTGAGCAATACTATACTTTTTTCAAACCTAGTGCAAGTGTGCATGAGTTGGCCTCTTATTTTGTGGTATCTTTCATACAAATGCACTGGTGTTGCGTCTAGTGTAACATGTTTCAAGATTGTGCCTGTCAACACTTGTATCAGAAAATGTAGCAGGTTCAGAAAGCAACAGTCTGATTACAGGCAGCTGCCTCTTGATTTTAGGACAAGGCTTATTGTTAAGTCAAAAGCTTTCAAATGTAATTATGGCGTGGGACAGTTACTGTGTAGATATTCCCAGAGTACCACCTCTGCAACCTGTCAGCATGTGGACCGTGTTGTCTTCTATCCATGGTCATATCATAGCTACATCAGTTTTCTCATTTAGAAAATATAAATGGTTTCTATATAGAAAAAACTTACGATGAAAATAGTCTAAATTATTTCTATTGCTCCATATCATATCTCAGTGATTTTGGTCATTGCATAATAAAAAAACTAGCGTAATTTTCTTCCTTAAATTAAAAAAAAAGCATATAAATGTGTGACTACTTTGAATTTAGTAGCATGTACTAAATAGTCAAAATATTTAACAGTATAATTAATAATATACATTTTAATGGTATTTCATGTTTTCTTTTCCCAGGAGCTGTGATCATCTCCACTCCGCAAGACGTGGCTTTATTGGATGCACGCAAAGGAGCTGAAATGTTTAGAAAAGTCCATGTACCTGTAAGACTCTACATTAAAAATGCCAGTAGATTGTTTTTCCAAAACGTAAAAAAAATTCTGTATACTGCAATAGGTGAACAAACCATTCAGGAATCACTTGAATTTCATAAATTCTTCTTAAAAAAAAAAAAAAAAGGATTAGAATCAGTCTTATATCTGTATCAGGCACTTGCTTTAACAGAAAGGAAAGAATTTCCTCAGGCCGAGGTCATAATAGTACTTGATTTCTTTTAAGTTAGTCTGTGTAATCACCTGGAATGGATCAGACTGCTAAACAGAGTATCTTATAAAGTAACGTGTGCTTTCCAATTGTACTGTCTTACTATATCCTCATTATGTGTCCTCTTCATCACTGTCTGTGTTGGAGCTTAAAATCTAAAATTTCTTGAAATGTGGAAAAATCATATATTTGTACATTTTAAGAAGGAAATGAAAGGTTTTGGGGAGATAAACACGTACTTCATAGTCACTTTGCCATTTGAAGGGCTCTGTGACTGTCACGCCAAGTAGAAGGCTGTCTATATCACTTTGTTTTTTCATGACATTTCTAGCTTACTTGGTAGCTTGCTTGTTTGGGAAAGGCAAAATTTAAAAATATCCACAGTATTCATATGGATTGGGAGAAATTATTAAACAGGGTGATATCTTTGACTCGGTATTTTCTATGTGTGCTACAAGTTGCTAAGTAACTGAATGTTATACTCTAGAGTATGTTCATGAAGAGATTAATTTTTCATTTGAAATGTGCAGTTGATGAGCAGATACAAACTGAAATGCTTCCTTATCTTAAACAGTAAAGAAAAAAAGCCATTTACTATACTTGAAAAAAGATGTTTTCTTGCTTACTTGTGTGAAGGTCACTTCTACTCTTTATTAAGAAAGGAAATTTCTTTCATAGCTGGTGCTTTGTTAATTTAAAAAATGCAACAGAAACGTTGAAGTGACTGCTTTCCCTTTTTGTTTTAACTTACAGAATAGCTTAACAAAAGAAATACATTGATAAATTCCTTATTGTTAACTATTCCTTAAACATACTTGCACCAAAATGAAAGTATAGTACCATTTATCATTTGCTACTAGAAGAAAAACAAATATATATAACAGAAGAATAACATATGGAATGTTTTATTTTGATTTTATGTTTGGGTTTACTAGAACTATGCAAAATTATCTTCTTCAAATAAAATTATGTTCAAGTTAGTACTTTGCTGAATTTTCCTATTGATTTAATGAGAAATTATCAAGATTGCTTTCTAAGTCTGTTTTGTTCAATGTTCTTTGAAGGAAATGGCCTCTAAGATCATGCATTCTAGGATAGGCCTGGCTGCTATTAATTTGACTAGTGGTAGATAAGATATTAACTATGATCTATTTTGATTTGTTGGAAGTTTCAGATCTTTCTGAATCAAATGAAAAGTCACAGCAAAGCTGTTGCACCAGATACTGAGTTTGAATGCACTTAAACCAGTCATCAGGTCTTACCTTTTTCATGATGCTGCTTCATTTTGTTCTAACCTCTGATGTACATCAGTACAGATGTGTCATTTACTTCAGTGCTAACACAGCTCCTGCCTATGTATTACATTTCTAAGTGTCGATTAAATCTGAGAATCTAAAGAAAGTTTAGTTACGTAATTTTTGATGCACAACTTCAAACCTGAGGTTTACATCAAAGATGTGGAATCTTGTGGGACTGTGCTAAAATTGTGTATCCTGATTATATAATGGACTGATCTTTAAAAATCTAATCTTTAAAATCTTTAACCTAATCTTTAAAAAAGCACTTGCAGAGAGTCTACTTTTCAAAGAAGCAGAGAGTCTGTAGATTGCTGAACTCTGAATCTTTGAGTATGCTTGCTTATATTTAATGAACTGGAGTCTCTCCCTTGTACATACAGGCATACATACACCACCTTCCCCTCACCCCCACAGTCATTAGTTACCAAAGCCTCAAGTGACATATGTAGTATTACCACAGTAAAGTCACACTTGTTAACATCCTTTGTTTGTCCTTTACTGCATTGAAAGTAGCATAGAATGACTGAAAGAACTGATGAAAAGCTGGCAATGAGAGTCAGTGTTAGAACCAGGGTTCCAATGCAAAAGCCTTATTTTCAGTCTTAGGACACAGTCATTAAGAGAGGAGTGCCATCTCTAGTACAGTGGAGCCCACCTGGTAAGGAGGGAGTTTGCAAAGTGTTGCTGACTCCTATCACAAGTTTCAAGATTCTCGTCCATTATGTGAATTTGGCCGTCATTTTCGTGCATCCCAGTGGCTTGCTCTGAGCAGGTCACCAAAAAAAGTGAGTAAGTTTGAGTATTTAGGAAAAAATTGCCTATTTTCACCTGCTGAAATTGAGTTCAGTTCAGTATGGTTTATCTTACCAATCATATCCCTGAAAGACAGGGTCTTAGTTAAATCTGCAACTTTTCTGGTAGTTTCCTTGAATTGCAGGGTTATGTTGTGGATTTCACAGGTTTCAAAAAACTGCTTATGTAGACTCAGCTATATATTTCCTTCTAAGATGTACTAAAATTGTTTATTTGGCTATGTACTTACTGGTATTTCTGTAGCGTCCAGAGTACCCAGCCGAGATTGTGGCTTCATACTGGGAGCGGAAGTTAGAGCCAAAAATTGCTTGTTATAAGACGAAAGGTAGGAAGACAGAAATATTGTGCACGTTTACTTGAAGCACTAAAACGTCAAGGGACTGACTGATGGTTACGTAGGAAGTCGATGGCAGACTGCAGAACTGTAACCCTGATCACTTCAGTCCTGATCAGATTGGAGTTGGACCTCAGCACCATCCGTCCTTAAGTGCAGTGAACGACTTAAGTGGGTTTTTCAGGAATTGTCTCCTTCTGTGTAAAGACAGAGGGCTTTAATTTTCTCACTGTATTTTCTTTAACTTAGAAGGTAGTATATTTAGATTTCGGCATGATTTGTTGTGTAACCAAAAGGTTAATTGGGCATAAGAAATCTGTAAACATTCAGAAACAGTGTGTGTGCACAGATAATTCATAATGAAAGGTTTCTTCATTTCCTGTTAGTTCTTGATAGATGTCTCTTCACCATTTAAAATAACGATTTGACTAAATGAAATTCAGTTCCGTGCATTGTAGTTATCCTCTCCTCCACTACCATAAGTTAGCTCCTGTATTGCGGTGCATCTCATCATACTAGTTTTCATGTCATTATTGAACCGAGTTTGCCGAGAAATGTACAGGGAAAGGAGCTCACTAAGGACTAGAATAGGATTCGCACATACTTATGGGATAGTTTGTGTAGACAGTAACAGCTGCTTTGAAGCTTTTCCAGATCTATTATTTGAACAGGGAAATGAGAGTTATTACTGACTTCATTAGCAAGACCTATTACTTTGTGTGTAGATTTAAAAGCTCTGAAGATCATACTGAACTCTTTTCCTTCTGTAAATATATCTGCAGAAATAGGCATTTTAAAAATACACTAAAGCACTGAAGTTGTGTATGTTTGCACAGATTCTGTATTAAACTGGGTGTTTATAATTGGCAACTTAATACTCCGAAAAATCTATTCATACTCCAGAAGAATAATTTACATATTAATAAATATGCACTAATCATTGGCTGACAGATAGGAACAACACTGAAATATAAAAATGATTGTGTAATGCAGAAATGTCATTTGCTTTTAGTAAGATTTGTCGAAATGAAAACAAAAAGGATAGTGAATAAGACCTCTAAAACTGATACAGCACTGGGGATACAGCTGTATCCCAGCATTTGCATTAACTGTGGCAGGACTTCTTAGTTACTAAGTTATCAAAGAATTAACAAAACAGCTGTAATAGTCCTTAACTATTCACAAAACAACAATAATAGACTACATAACTTTTTCTTCTATGATTGTGATTTTGCTGAATCATAAATACTGTATGACTAGTTTGAGGAGAACAGAAAGTTCAAATCCCAAGATACCTGATGATGAATTTACTCATTTAAAGTATAAATGTCAAGTTCTCTTTTTTCCCTGTGCTGCAGAAAATGGCTTCCCTGTATCCTAGTTAAAATACTGTTTTTCTTTTGTCAAATAATACTCCTTCCGGTGTTCTCCAGTTTACCAACACAGTGAAAATTCCATGACTTTAATTTTAGAAGAGCAGGATGAATGCCTGCTCAGAGGTCATCAGTAGAAGACTGTGGCTGTAGAGAGCCCTTTTTACCACCCCTGCACCTTGTACCCTTGGACCTGTAGTATTTCATGTCTCTCGTAGTTTAAGAACTGGATGAGAAAATGACCTGTAATAATGTGCCAGTAAATAGAAACTTGTTCCTCTTGCTCCTCTGGCAGTCCCTGGCAGAGAGTAGAAAATGGGGAAAGTTTGTGGTGTTAAATTGAAAGTAGGTAGTCTTTTTTTTCCTTTTTTTGTTGTTGTTGTTACTGTTTCTTAAAATACTCCTTGCTTTACACCTTCTGAAAGTTTTACATAAGTAAAGGAAGACTTCTTAGAAAATAGTGTGAAACACATTATGTTGGTATAGAAAAAACACGT